CCACATCTTTCTGTCTAACTGCAACACAGGCTTCGAAGCGCGGACCTCCAATTCTTGCATGGTCGGGGTGTTGCGCCACATACGTCTTGAAGCGTCCACTTGAATGTTAGTCAGGGATACTCGTTATACTGCTCGTGAAGCAAGCGTTTGCAAAAATGACATCACTCACTCTCGCACAGTCTCGTCGTCGGCACCTCGTAGCTCAGGATCCTCTTGTACATCCCAGTTGATGTGCGGGAAGTTATCGCCGTCGCCGTCTTCCTCGAGGCTGAGCCGCACGCGCTCGTTTAGATGGTGCATGTAGCGCGTCCAGGAATCATCGTCCGAGTATGTGAGTCTATAACAGTGAGTCCGACTTTCACACTAGGGTATGTTGAAATGTAGTGGCGAATGCTGTCAGTGCCGGGCATGTTGAAGAATTGGTCGGTGGTGAACACTATCTAGTTACTGGATAGAGGCACAAGTCTCAGGGAAGAGTCGATATACTATAAGTGTTTTCTTGTTCGCCCGTTCGTAGTGCTCCGTGGGGAACTCGAAACGAGTCTTTGTAGGCAGGGCTCGAGGGCGCTAAAATGTGGCCGGGCTTGTCCGCATTCGAAGTCTTATTTTAACCAATCTTGTATTAGTAATTGACATTCAGAGGAGAGACCTATGTCAGAGTGTGGTAAAGTTATGTCGCAGGCCTATAGTTGATCGTTCGCCAACCTGCAGCACGGCTTATCAGGACACCGGCATACAACCCCTTTGAGGAATAACACCGATCGCTTGCAGGGGAGCGTCGATCATGACAAAAAGTCCTCACGTCGCCGCAAAATCTCCCAGCATCAACACGAAATCGCGACGCCATGTATCGCACGCTCGGCCTTGCACTGACAGTACTTGGCGGTGTTGTCAATGCTGTCACGAATACAACACAACCGTGCACTGGTCTTGCTGCAATCAATCCAAGATGCATCTCTAATCAGTCGTACCACCAACGCGACATTTTTTACGTTGGCGGCCGCTCACTCGACATCAGCACAGGCAATCTCACTGTTGATCAACTGTATGTTGAAAAATTAACGCCCTCTGCCGGCGTTACGCAGCCCAAGCCACTGATCTTTTTCCATGGCGGAGCCGTCTCAGGAACGACTTGGCTCAACACCCCTGATGGCCGGAAGGGCTTCGCTACTTACTTCTTGGACCATGGTTATCAAGTTTACATCCTGGATCACATCTCTGTAGGCCGGAGTAGCCAGATGGACACGCGCGACTATGTGCTCTGGAACACGACGACTCAGGAAAGCGTCCAGGCTGCCTTTACGGCCCCAGAACTCGTACCCACATATCCTCAGGCAGAGCTCCATACACAATGGCCTGGTACAGGGCGCATCGGAGACCCATCTTTCGATGCTTTTCGCAAAGGCGTGGTGCCTTTTACGAGCAACTTCACACTGGGCGAACTTGCCATGCGAGTAGCCGGGTGCGAGTTACTTGCGCTCATCGGGCCTTCCTATCTAATCTCGCATTCCCTAGGATCGACCTACCCACTTTTGCTCTCCAATGATTGTCCTGAGTACGTCGCGGGCAACATCAACCTCGAGCACTCGAACCATCCGTTCTGGAATTACGGTGTTGCTATCGATGCAGGAAGTGCGACACGTCCATGGGGTCTAAGTAATACGCCCCTGGACTACGAACCCGCTGTAGATGATGTTTCAGAGCTGAGGCAGGTGGTTGTTGGCAATGATACGCTTGCCCGCCGAAATTGCCGTTTGCAAGCTGAGCCAGCACGGAAGCTACCGAAGATAGCGAGTGTCCCTTATTTGTGCTTAACTGGGGAAGCGAGTGTGCATGTTACGTATGATCACTGCATCATTCAGTTCCTGAGGCAGGCTGGAGGCACGCCCGATTGGATTAAACTTGCGGACCGCAATATTACCGGTAACGGACATTTCATGCACCTGGAGAAGAATAACATGGATATTGCGAAGCTTGTAGAAGATTGGATCGTTAAACGCGGTGATGGTCGGTAGCATCAAGAAGCAGATGCACAGTTGGGGGACCACTTGGTCAGGTCGCCACTTCTTGACGTGTTGATGTTGCAATTCGTAGCATGAAGAATCTCAAACCTATGAATCCTTCGAAATCTGAGTGCTGTGCTATATACTATGAAGTGTCTGTACTAAAATCAATCGGTATACCTTGTGTTCCCAGCCCTGTGCTCGCGAGATTGGTCTCCGAGACGTGTGGCTGTGCTTTGCGCTAAGCGCCTGCAACTTCCCGATCCTCCCAAGCGCTGCCTCGAGCGACTCCACAGCACGAAAAACCTTAGGTCATCCAGTGGATACCTTCGTGGCTTGTGGCTTGTGCCTTTACACATGTGGCTGTGTTACAATGTCAGTATCCCAAGATCAAGGTTTCCAACGATTGTACTGCATCAATTATATCCCGCGCTTGGTTGCTTATTGGCGGTGTATAATCACCTAGAGAGCATGCATTGCCACCACGATCAGGGTGATAATAACTGGTCCACCGTTGATCGCTAGCCGAAATCGAGAATTCGAGTGCGCGCAGTCAAGTACCGCAGAAGATGTGGAAACTAAAGTCAGGGATGGACGGACTCAAAATCGGCTGCTAAAGGTGACTACAACCCGCGCGTTCCGTAGTGGACCGTTCGAACATCAAAACTGAATTCTTATAACTAGCCTCACTGCCTGAATTGGAGGCTACTCACCAGCCTTGATAGTTGTCATCTTCCATCTTTCGATTCTTGCCAATTCTCATGCTCACTTCTCAACTGTCCATCGAGCGCCACTTGAGCTGATGTACAGACCTCACACTTGCAGCTATGTCAAAATCATTCGATCAGATACTGACCAGCTTGGCTGGTCCAGGGCGACAAATTGAGCAAGATAAGGGCCTCCAACACATCGATGATACCCTGTTTATAAGTCTTCGTCGCATCTTCAACCTCAACGCAGGTTCGGACAACGAGTGGGATGAAGATCAGATCCGTCTTTTCGAGACTCATGTTCAGGCGGAGCAATTCAGCCATCTTCTACTTGACATCGTCGAATCCCCCGGAAGATTCAGATTTAGCGATTTTCTGCGATATATCACTTCGCCTATCGCCAACGCACAGCGTCCCGCCGTCACAGAAGACGTCTCTTGGCCTTTGAGCAACTACTTCATAAGTTCGAGCCATAACACGTACTTGACTGGAAACCAATTGTCGAGCGATTCCAGCACCGAAGCATATAAAGATGTGCTTTTGCGTGGCTGTCGCTGTATCGAGATTGACGTGTGGGACGGCAAAGAATTCTTCAAAGCCGACGAGGGGGAAGCACAAGGTGCACAGCAGCCCATTGGGATGACCGGCAAGATTGGTCTCAAAGTGTTAAAATGGACATTGGAAAAGTTCGAGAAGCCAGAGGTCCTGGCCGAGACGGGGACTTTTGACGAGAGACTAGCCAGTGTGGTTCATGCCGAGCCCAGAGTTCTGCATGGTCATACGCTGACGAAGGAGATAACATTTCGCGATGTGTGCGAGACAGTTAAACTGTACGCTTTCTCCGCATCAGATCTTCCGCTGGTAGTCAGTCTTGAAGTGCACTGCTCGCCACTGCAACAGGGTATTATGGTCGATATCATGAAGAAGGCCTGGGGCGATTACTTACTACCAGAACCGGAGACTGAGCCCGATTTTCTGCCAGCTCCCAAAGATCTGAAAAAGAAGATTCTTATCAAAGTCAAGTACAGTTCACCTGACCGCACTCTCGACCCATTGTCGGCCGATACAGACAGCGGAAGGTTCTCCAACTTGCAGGTTACAGACCCAGTAAAACCTGCCGCGAAGGCCAAACCGGTCAAGATAACAGAGAGTCTGAGCTGCCTTGGAATATACACTCGTGGAGTCTCTTTCAAGTCTCTCACGCAACAGGAAGCTTCAATGCCGAATCACATATTCTCTCTCTCGGAGCCTGCGGTGATCGAACTCCACAACAAATCACCCCTCGAGCTCTTCAAACACAACAGGAACTTTCTCATGCGGATGTATCCTGCGGGTATCCGCGTAGACTCTCTGAATTTTGACCCGAACCCATTCTGGCGTATGGGCATACAAGTCGCAGCGCTCAACTGGCAAACACTGGATGTTGGCATGATGCTAAACCACGGGATGTTTTCTGGAACTGACGGTTATGTCCTCAAACCTAAAGGCTATCGTAGTCTGGACTCAATACAGCTATCCGAAGGCGTGCCAGAAATGCCCCTGAAAACCCTGGACCAGTTGTCAGTTCAGATAATAGCGGCCCAAGACATTCCCCTCGCGAATGCAAGCGATGACCCAAACAACTTCCGACCGTACGTCAAGGTGGAACTGCACACAGACGCGTACATATCGAAGCCTATTGAACAAGATGTTGAATCCGGCCACGCGAAGGGAACGAAGTTCAGAGCGCAGACTACAAACAGCAGAGGGACGAGTCCGTACTTTGAGGGTGAGCTGCTGGAGTTTCGGAATGTGCAGTGTGTCATTCCCAGACTGGCGTTTGTGACGTTTATGATCATGAGCGAGGCTGCAGTTGGCCCTGATGTCGTAGCTGCATGGGCCTGCATTAGACTTGATCGACTCAAGAATGGATATCGCCTGGTCCATCTGTTTGACAAGCAAGGAATGGCGAGCCGAGGTGTTTTACTGGTTCGCTTGACTCAAAGATTCTTCGATTAATTAAGGCATCTATGTCTCCTATGTGCGCGAGTTGCTAATCGAATTTGTGGCAAACTCTTGTGTACTGTGCTTGAGATATTCAAGCAGTGGTAACTGCCGCGGTGTAAGCAAGCAACTGATGCCATCACAGCCCAATCAAGACCAGCATTCTGACAAACACGACTATCGAATGAAGCCCGACGAACTATATCTTCAACGCAACAATTCAACTCGTTTGGAAAGAAGCTACAAAAAAGTTTTTATATTCATATCATTACTATTATAAACTTCTTCCATCAATCAGCAGTCTGCCCGGCTGGCACAATCGGTAGCGCGTGAGACTCTTAATCTCAAGGTTGTGGGTTCGGTTAGTAACACTAAAACACCTGGCTTCGATCCCGGTCTCTAACAATCTCGCAGAGCCCCACGTCGGGCTGCCAAAGCAAGACTTCAAATTTTTTTTTAATTTTTTTGGCCCAAAAATTGGCCGGGTAAGAGACGCTAGTATTGCAGCGACGCCTTAATTACCACGCAGTCATTCTTACCACAACCACTTAGTACACTGTCGCCTAACAACCCCAAGCCTAGTACTTACAAAGTTGCAATATCTGTTGTCCAAATAACTATGCGCAAAGAGCAATTAAGCTGGCAAGTGCATCACAGCTTAGCATTTACTTGCAATAAGACACAGCTAATATAAGATATTAAAATAAACTGTTCGTTTACTTTATTCTAGTGTCACGGGGCGGGTTCGGGTTCTGGTCGCACCAACGTCGGCGCGGCGCAGGCAGGGGAGGAACAGCTATTTAGAGTACCGCGTGGATTCAATGTAGTTATCTACGACAGGCAGTAGCCTTACAGGCAGGCTCTACAACAAGACGTAGCTCAAAGAGCTACACAGGGCAGCAGGCTGCAAAAGAGAGGACTCTGCTCGGCACAACCTCGGAGGCTTAGCCGATCACGTGTTCCTCCAGAACATCACGACGCAGTTGCGCCGTGACAACAGGTTTCAGAGGGAAAGGCTTGCTCGGGGGTACTTCGGCTTCTAAGTCTGTCACGTGACCCTTGTCAAACAGCTACACGGCCACGCCGTGACATCTAGTATAGACAAAATTGTTTATAATATGCATTTGCGTAATTGTAAGTACTCTGCAGACTATATTTAGAGCTAGGTACAGCAGAAGGAGGGTAGGTCTTAGCAAGGCACTTCTAATTAAAGCAACTAGTTTGTGTCGGCTATAAAGTAGATGGATTATTGTCAGGCCTCGCGCAGCGCGACCTAAGAGGCTTGTTCGAGCTCTGTTCTGTCCTGTTCTGTCCTGTTCTTCCCTGTTCTGACAAGTATATGTATGCGAGAACTGCGTGAAGTCCTTGACTTCACGTCCTAGTCTTTTGCTTGGTGCAGCGGGTTAGCGCATACAGGTTCCTATACGCTCCCCCGTGACACTAATACGCGATCGTGCTGCCTTTTTGAGGCTTTGATGGCTGAGTGGGTGCTACCTGCCATGTAATAAGTGTGCATTCTAATATCGCGCCAATGCTGTTTCTCGTCCCTACTGGCCCCTCATCGGTGTCTGGCAAGAACCTTGCGACCATCACCTGCATCCTGATTCGACAAAGTAGGGAAAGTTCACACTCCACGACCGCGAAAGAGAGTTCACACTCCACGATGCCCCGAAGAGAGTTCACACTCCACGGCCCCGAAGAGAGTTCACACTCCACAATGCCCTGAAGAGAGTGTATATTTTACAGAGAGAACATATACTCTATAATACTAATACTAAGACAGTATCTACTCTAAACTCTACAATTATATTAGCTTCTCCTTCTGCTGTTACTTACATTACTGCTAATATCTCTCACCTGCCCTTTACAGTGCACTAAGCCTGTCCATCACCGCTAAGGCCCAATGCGCTCAACGCATGGCTTGCGTCATAGTGCCAGCGCGTTCCCTGCCTGGCAAGGCCAGCATTGCCAGCACCTCACAGCGCGCCGCACCGCACTATACACATTAGGAGATTGACACTGTCTCTGGCACCCACTCGCAAGTTCTTGGTCGTGGCTAGGGAGATCTTCTAAGACCCTAAGGCTTTCGCAGTCGCCAAAGACGATGATACCAAGTAGAGGTGCAGCAATTGTCAGCGCGCCTAGGACGAGTAATCACCAGCCTTCACAACGCGGTACTAAACAAGGAGTCTCAGGATAGCAGATAATCGCCAATCTCACCATACTGTCTGCTTTTCGTCGCAAGAGACTGCCGGAGCAAGAGTTGGGTACTGTCTCAACGAGGAGTTCAGAAAAGGTTAGAGTTGCGAAGGTGAGGTTACACTGCCGCGGCACTGACGGGAAGATCCCTTCAGCTCATGCGCACGGGCCTGGCGGGATTTGCTGATCTTAATCTTCCCGTCTTCCCGTTTTTCCCACGGGAACGCAGGACCGCCTACCTTTACGAACTTCCATCTCGCCGCTCTTGAACTTCCTTCGACGTTGCTGTCGTGGGCTCTTTTATACCCATGGACGGCGGCAGTACGCCAGTTGCCACGGCAGCTGGTAACGATGCTGCACCCGTGGGGCGTGTGCGAAAGCGTGCGCCTGAGGCATGCACATTCTGCCGTCGACGAAAGGCTCGTAGATGAAGGCTGCGAGCAGGCGTTGACTAACTATAGCAGATCAAGTGTAGCACTGAGCGCCCAATATGCGCAAACTGCAAGACCCATGGGATGAGCTGTGTCTATGAACCTATCGACGATGCCGTTCGAGCACGGAGCGCACGCCCCAGCAAAGTTGCCCGGAGAGAACATACTCAAGAGCGGACTGCGGCTGCTGCTACGAACACCCCTAGAGCTACAGTGGTACCTGAAGATAATTCACCTCGTCCGTCTGTAGATGCTGTCAGCCGGGCAAATAGTGTCTCTCGAATTGTTGTGTCTTCGAACGGCATGCCCAGTTATCATGGCCGCACAAGTACACTCTTCGAAGAGAGTTATCAAGATCGCTCGACTCCAGAAGCCAACTCCAGAATGCCAGAGGAGTGGGTAGAGAAAGGTCTCATTGCGGAAGCTGCCTGCCAACGGCAACTTGAAGATGTCAACTTTCGGCTCGGCAAACTCGACTTCGATGGCGTTGAACCTGAACTAGGTCAACATTTGTTATCCCTTCATTGGAATCGACAGCACCATTCTTTTTTGATCACATATCGACCTGCCTTTATGCGAGATATGGCCTGCAAGGGCCCAAACTTCTCTAAACTTCTGCTGAATGCGATCTTCTTCAGCGCATCCAAGTTCAGCCCACGCCGTGAACTGCGCAGAGACGCTGATGATGTTCGAACTGCTGGATGGAAGTTTCGCGAACGTGTGCGCGGACTCCTAGGTGGTGCTCTTGATAAGAGCGACATCACTACTATTCAGGCTCTACTCATAATGTGTAATTCGCTGTTTGCGTTGGGAGACGAGCGGAGCGCAGCTTGGCTATACGCTGGTCTTGCATTCCGAATGATTGTCGACTTAGGCATCCATGTTGACAAGGCAGGTCTTACCACCAACAGGAAATTTTCGGACGAAGATCTCGAGATCAGAAGACGCGTCTTCTGGGCTGCATTTGGTAAGTAAACCTTAGTAAGGACATCGAGCAGACTGACAGTATGCATAGTTGTTGACAAGATACAAAGCTTGTATCAAGGTCGACCAGTGACTCTGAAAGAATCTGACACCTTGGTACCCATAAAGTTCCTGGACACATATGAGGAGCTTGAGCACTGGACTCCCTTGGCTTACCTCACACAGTCCGACGTTGCTTACTCTGGATCCCCAGCATACAGTATCTCCACGTTCAAAAATTTGTGCAAGCTTTCGGTCATCCTGAGTGATATACTCAGCACTATCTATACAGAGCGCAGCTCGGACAAGAGCTCAGCTGAACTTTCTAATAAGCTAGAGAGCATTCATGCCACATTACAGGCGTGGTATCAAGACCTACCGGCCCATCTGGCCGACTTGGGTCAGTTGCCAACGACGCCTCCTCCACATGTGTTGAGCTTACTGTAAGTATTGGCCACATATCTGGAAGACACCCAGCTGATTGTCTTAGGGCGATGTATCATGTTCTTGTAATCTTACTACATCATCCATTTGTTGCAGACGGTCATCTGTATAGTACCTCCCGCAGCATTTCTGTGAACTCACTGAAATGCTGCGCTACAGCTGCGAACGACATTGTACACTTGGTGCGAGTGTTCGATAAGGCTTTTAGTGTGCGAAGAGCCCCGTATCTAATATCATATGCAACCTACGTTGCAGCCACGATCCACGCAAGAATCGCAGCGAAACGCGGCCCCGGTTCTGATGCTCACAGTAGTCTTGCTGCCTGTCTTGCTGTTTTCCGAGAAAATCAGGAGACCAACCCCGCTGTGCGTCGCGCCAACGCTCTTGTACAGAACCTTATGAAGAGGCTTGACGTGCGCATGCACAGCATCGAAGAATGCCGCATACACAAGGGCAGCGATGGTGGCAGTCAGCAGCAATCCCCTGAGGCGGTTTCGAACATCACTACAGGTCGTGGGCCCAGTCTGCAAGGACTTGATCTCGACGGCATTATCCAAAGCTTTGTGCGCGAGCAAGAGAATGCACAAATGACGCAAGTCGGCACACCAGATCATTCTGCGATGAACACACCGACGCAGATGGCGCCGCCGCGAGGCACTACGGTACCCGCGAATCTTCTCGACCCTGGCAATGGAGATGCGCACAACCTCAACTACGACTGCAATGGACAGTGGATGAACCCCGGCCAGCACCAAATGTATAGCGACATCGCGGTGCCGGTGGACGATTTGTACTATGGCTTTAATAGTGCTGCGCTTGATAGCATACCGATTACCCCGTTTCTCGAGTGGAATACTATGTAGAGAGTAAATGGCTGTACCTTTAGTAGCTTTCCAGCATCGAGCGGTCATGCTTCTTATGAACAATAATTAACGTACAATGTTCAGTCAATGTAAGCTTTGTGATGTGACTTCAGCAAACTACAAATTGGCCAGGCAAGTAATGACGTTTTATTTGTTCTTACTGGTCGTCTCCATAATTTCTTTTGTTTTCCAGTTATAGGGTCATTGCTTTGTGAAATATACTGTTATTTGCCGCTTTCTTTGACGCGCAGGAGGTGAAGTAATGGTTCCAATGCTCACCTGCCCAGCCGGGGCTAGCGTACCTCCACATAGGCTGCGCACCTAATTAGTCTCCGAATCATCACTCAACACCCCCACAATTGCCACCGCGCTTGATTTTTCAACAACAACTCTGCCATATCGCGACGACGTGCCAAAAAAGATGTACGACGATGCTTCCGAACTGAAGCCTGCTGACTTTCTCAATCCAAGTCAGCAGCGAACAGC